TCTGCAACAGGAGAGGCTACAACAGTGAGAGGCCCGCGTACCACAAAAAAAAAAAAGGAAGAAAATGTGGCAAAAATATGTAAAACATAACTGTAATATTCCACTCTTAAAAAAGAAGAAAATCTGGCCGTTTGCAAAAATATGGATGAACCTGAAGGACACTGTGCTGAGATGAGCAAGACACAGAAAGTCAAATATTTCATGATCTCTCTTAAGATAATGGACTCTGAAATAGTCAACTTCATGGAAGTAGAGAGTAGAATGGTAGTTGTCAAGAGGCTGGGACGAGGGGGAAATGGATGAGCTTCTATGCATGGCACTTCTAACTGAAAAAGATGGTATGACAGCATGCTGGTCCTACACATGCACTCAAGAGTAAGATGCAGTAATCCGTCCACAGATAATTTCTATACCATGGAGACAAAATAGTACCTTCCTGCATCTGAAATTATTCTTGTTTAGACCATTCATCTAGTATGTTGTCATTTATGTAAGAAATTGTTCTCTTCCTTCAGTCTTCATCAAAACAGGGATGGGACAATGAGTCTTGAGCTCTATAGTCTGGACATCCAATTTGCTATTCTCTAGTTATATATTCACAAAACATTTACACAATAATCATGGATTTCTATTGAATAACTCCTGAAAAAAGAAAAAAATAAAGGGAGATAGATGTGTCTAGTCTAAAGATAAGATGAACTGCCATAATTTTTGTAATGAGGAAAGAGGAAAACATCTGCAATGCCTACAATAGCCACACTCAGGGAAATATCCCAACATCACGTGTTTTAAAGCAGTATGAGCTAAGTACATTATTGAGACACTTTATGGATCCACCATATATTTTATAAGTCTACAGTTAATATGGAAAGCAAATTCCTGCTAAAATGCAATGCAACTCTAAGAAAGCTCCTATTTCTAATCATTGCTAAAACAGCACTTTACATTTAATTTTAAAAAATCATACATGTTAACCGTTTAATGCCAAAACTCTGGGAAAACGTCCTCCTTTCTCAAATGCAAACACACACACATAAAAATAATTGTATTAGAACTCTGTCATTAAGACTCATACCCCAAGTCTATCTTGAAATTTCTGGTAAAATCAACATGGGCTGGATAGGCAACTGATGTAATAATTACCACCCATTATGAATTTTTAAAATGTAGTAACAGGAAATATGAAATGTCCTACCTGAGAAAAAAATTTTACTAGTAGAATTAATAGCCCCCAATATATTCCTGGCAAGTGAGAAAAAGTCAATCATTTACACTCCTGTTCAATTAAGCTTTTCCAGATCCATAACAGGAATGTATGGCTATTCTTATTATTATGGAATAGATTAACTGGACTATTTTTTATAGGCCTTGTCATGTTTAATCTTTTCAAAAGTAATAAGTCTGAAAAGTAATAATCTTTTCAAAAGCATAATTTTCAAAAATAATCATCCCCCATTAGCTCGTAAGAAAAATTGTCAAAGTATTTCCCCCATTTCTCAAAAGGAATGCTTTAAGGGAAACTGCCAGGTATTTTAATTATTAGGCAATGGGGGTTAAATTATGGTTAGAAGGGGCCAGGTAGGCAAGGAGGAATAAAAGAGCAGCTATGAGTCACCACTTCACTCCTGATAAACTAAGCGATCTTCTGAGGAAATTAATTGTCACGAGAGATTTGCAATGTGGTGAGAATATTTTTCTTGATGATTTCAGGTACCTGGGCTGAACTGAAACAGTTATCCTTTCTTGAGTACCTGGCACAAGTACAGAGGCACCGAAGAATTTTGAAGGGATTTTTAGAAATCGCTCTTTCTTGGAAAATAAACATCCCTTCTTGCTCTAGAAAATATTAACCTTATGCACATAACTCTAGGCAGAAAACTGTTGGGATGTCACCTCTCTTCAAATAGGTGAAGGCACCAAGTAAAGGACCCAGCACATGATAGTACTTAAATAATCTCATAAGTTTAAAAACAGTGGCTTTCCTTTACTTTTAAAATTGTATTTTATATTAAACCATATGTGTTTTATACAACTTATGGATTTGCATTCTCCGTATTTCAAGATAGGCCCTTTGGTGTTGTAAACTTACAAAATTCAGTTTGGTCATTAATATTATTAAGTTCCTTTCAGTCTATGTATAACCTCTAGTAATAAGAAGAGTGTAGATATTCCAATGTAACATTCCCTATGACAATGAAAGCCAAGTCACAAATTCAGGTGTGTATACAGGGTTTTTGTGTAAACTGGTATAAAAAGTCTCACAACCTGTTTTGCAAACTCAGTGCAATCTCAGTAATCTATCCTTCTAGGTACTAAGACAATTGTCTTGCATGAAAGATGTAGTAAAGCCAATGCAGATGCTCTAGTGTCAGGATTCAGTCAGGTATCAGAATCCTCTGTAGGCTGCTGAATATAGGACCAGACAGGGTTCTGAGACTTTTTAAACTACATAGGCTACTACAAGTACTAGATTCTCACACTTTATTTTTGCAAGATTGAAAATAAGTGTACTACATTTTTAGCCAAAAAAAAAAAAAGTTCTGTACCCACTATGTTAATTAATAAACCCATTGGCATTGACTGGAGATAAGCAAAATTGAAAGTTTTGGTTAAGAGCCCCTTCTGAATTGCTGAAATTTGAATAGCATCTAACACTCTTCCCCAGATTTTATACTCTAAATTAGAGAATATCAAGGGTTAACTAACTATTCCTAGAGTATAAATTAAAATTAACAGATTGAGGGCTTCCCTGGTGGCGCAGTGGTTGGGAGTCCGCCTGCCGATGCAGGGGACACGGGTTCTTGTCCCGGTCTGGGAAGATCGCACATGCCGCGGAGGGTCTGGGCCCGTGAGCCACGGCCGCTGGGCCTGCGCGTCCGGAGCCTGTGCTCCGCAACGGGAGAGGCCACAACAGTGAGAGGCCCGTTTCCCCAAAAAAAAAAAAAAAAAAAAAATTAACAGATTGAAATATTTAAAATAATTACAGGCAAGTTAGCAAGAACTTAGAATACAAATATATTCACATTATTATGAAAATTAACGTTTTGAGTCAAGAATACTGATTCAAATGCCGTAATGCTGGATAAATGGTTTTATTAAATAAATGCCTAAGGCACATTCATTAAGAGTTGCAGTTTATGTTCCATATATATGAATAATGACTTGTTTCCTTCTATTCTCAGAAATCCTGTAATTTTAGTTCATTAAAAAAAGAAAAAAAAAACGGAGGTGATATTACATGGTTACTGTGAACAAGGCAAGAAGAAAAGATGACTGCTTTAAAAGACAACTCGAAAAAACTATACTATCTAGCTGAAAAAAGAAGCTTCACCTGAAATGCACAGTTACTCAGCACTCAAGCTATTTCAGTCTGAGTCACTATCTTCGTGGAGTTGGCATTATGAAAATTAAGTGCCCAAGAGGGGGAAGGGTGAGCTGTGACAGGGCGAGAGAGAGGCATGGACATATATACACTAACAAACGTAAGGTAGGTAGCTAGTGGGAAGCAGCCGCATGGCACAGGGATATCGGCTCGGTGCTTTGCGACCGCCTGGAGAGGTGGGATAGGGAGGGTGGGAGGGAAGGAGACGCAAGAGGGAAGAGATACGGGAACATATGTATATGTATAACTGATTCACTTTGTTATAAAGCAGAAACTAACACACCATTGTTAAGCAATTATACCCCAATAAAGATGTTTAAAAAAAAAAAAAAATTAAGTGCCCAAACTTTTCAGAGTCCTGAAGACAGGTGACTACAGTGAAATGTGTCAACAGAGTTAGGTAGAATACAACTGAATAGAGAGAATATTTCCTCAGCCTCTGTAACTGAATTTAAAATCTTAAAGTATTTATGGTTTTAAAGTTTGTATTTTGTTTTTGTTTTTGCGGTACGCGGGCCTCTCACTGTTGTGGCCTCTCCCGTTGCGGAGCACAGGCTCCGGACGCGCAGGCTCAGCGGCCATGGCTCACGGGCCGAGCCGCTCCGCGGCACGTGGGATCTTCCCAGACCGGGGCACGAACCCATGTCCCCTGCATCGGCAGGCGGACTCTCAACCACTGCACCACCAGGGAAGCCCTTGTATTTTGTTTTTAATGGAAGCCACAAATATAATAACATTGGTGGCACAGGAGAGGAAAAATATTTCCAACTGATAAAGTGTATCAGCACTGAGTATCATTCAGATCTAACAAGTCATGTATGATAAGGTAAAATTGACAAATTAACATATGTACCCCAGGGCTTCCCTGGTGGCGCAGTGGTTGAGAGTCCGCCTGCCAATGCAGGGGACACGGGTTCGAGCCCTGGTCTGGGAAGATTCCACATGCCGCGGAGCAACTAGGCTCGTGAGCCACGGCCGCTGAGCCTGCCCATCTGGAGCCTGTGCTCCGCAACAAGAGAGGCCAAGATAGTGAGAGGCCCGCGCACCGCGATGAAGAGTGGACCCCACTTGCCGCAACTGGAGAAAGCTCTCGCACAGAAACGAAGACCCAACACAGCCAAAAATAAATAAATAAACAAACCAATGAACCGACATTTAAAAAAAAAAAAAAAAGTACCCCAAAGCCTGATGTGACTAGATCTATATTTTATTAATGGCTTTTTATCCTATGGTTATATATCATTGTTCAATTATTAGATCATATCTGGGCAGATGAAATATTAATGTATTAATGTAGATTATTCATTCTTTCAACATTCAATTAACATGTAATAATGCAAACTGCTTCTCTAAAACAGCTCATTGATCTTTGGCCATTGCCAAATGACTCCATATGGTTACTGATCAGTTTCTCTTGGATCCCAAATATTAAACAGAGGTGCTTCAGGCTACGAGAAAGGCAATGGAGGTGATATTCTTGTCTCTCATTCTATGCTTCTATTTATGCCTACATTAAGCATTAACCTTTCTTTTTTTTTTTTTTTTTTTCTTTTTGACAGGGAAAAGAAAGTAGAGTTTATTGGTGGGCATGGGTAAGGAGGGGGCAGCGCCAAGGCTCTCACGAGTGCAGGGCCCGCCATTTGTCCAGGGGGCCACAATTAGCGATGTACTTGACCCCACAGCCATCTGGAATGAGCCGCTTTTCTGCCACCATGTTTTCAAATTCATCTGCATTAAACTTAGTAAATCCCCACTTCTTAGAGATGTGGATCTTCTGGCGGCCAGGGAACTTGAACTTGGCCCTGCAGAGGGCCTCAATCACATGCTCCTTGTTCTGCAGCTTGGTGCGGATGGACATTATGACCTGGCCAGTGTGGACCCTGGCCACTGTGCCCTGGGGCTTTCCAAAGGCACCACGCATACCTGTCTGGAGCCTAGATTGGGGACAGCATGCCAGTCATTAATGTCCACTGGAACGGGCTGTCTACAAGGTCCCTTAGGGCAACCCATACAGGCAACAGGCTGCATACACTACCGAGGAGGCTGCTGTTTGCAGCCATTGCAGCCATTGCACACCAGGCCCCCATGGGGAAAAGAGCACAGTCGGCGTAACTGGCTGCAAAACCTTTCTACTTTTTATCTGTTTTATGTAATAAAGGAATTCCCCATAAAGTTCATTTCGTTTATCAAAAATTTTTGAGTCGCTACTATGGTGTCAGATCCTGTCTTGTCCCTTGATTTTGTTCAAGATTAATCTTATGTTCCTCCCTTCAAATCAGATCCCTTTTCTTTTTTTTTGTACTCAGAGGCTTTTATTTTAAAGCAAATTTTATAGACCTCATTCAAACCTCATGCCAAGTTTCTACAATGAATGGAAATACTATTATCCTACATGGAGACTCGAGGAACAGACATGGAAAGGTTAAGGAATATAACCTTAAAGATATAACTGAGTAGAGGCAGTTACAAATAGAATTTGAGCCTTTTAACTTTGAAGCTCATCCTATTAAATAACGTTGCATTTTTCAAGCTTCTATTTCTAAATGTACTATCATTGTCCTCTCACACTTTACTTCTTAAATCTGTCTTAAAATTCTTTCAATGGAAATTTTAAATAATATTAAAGAGTTGATAAAAATGACTGAAGTTCTCAAAGGAAATAGATTAAACAGAGCCACGAAAATCAGAATTTAATTAACCTTATGGTTTTGTGATTTCTTCTTTTAGAGAAAGCCAAAAAATTGGCATATTCAGCAAAGTCATTGGCTTGTTTCTTGACCAGCACTCATCAATAAGGCTAATCCACCCACGGGCAAGTTGGACTTAGATAATTATTTCCAGAAGCTGAAAGTTGCCTATTCGTGCTTGTAGAAAAGAGGAATGTAGTACTTTAATCATATATTTCACTTCCTCTGAGTGGCAGAGATTTTATACACCATCTCTTTGAGAATCAAATACTAGATGATATCTAGTATTTGCAGATGCCCTTTCTAAGTCCCCTCTCAGAGAATGGCACCACCATCTCTCAGTTACACAGGCCCTAAATCTGGTATCCCTTCTCTCTCATTCCCCACGCCCACCTACCTCCTGTTTCTGGCAACTTTGCCTTTTCAATATTTACTGTTGTCATCATTTTCCTAAGGGGTTCTCTTTTTTTTTATTATTAATTTTTATTGGAGCATAGTTGCTTTACAATGTTGTGTTAGTTTCCGCTGTACAGCAAAGTGAATCAGCTATAAATATACATATATCCCCTTTTTCTTGGATTTCCTTCCCATTTATCCTAAGGGGTTCTCTTTAATCCTTTCATTTTTATTTATTTATTTATTTTTTGGTACGCAGGCCTCTCACTGTTGTGGCCTCTCCCGTTGCGGAGCACAGGCTCCGGACGCGCAGGCTCAGCGGCCACGGCTCATGGGCCCAGCTGTTTCAGGGCATGTGGGATCTTCCCGGACTGGGGCATGAACCCGTATCCCCTGCATCGGCAGGCGGACTCCCAACCAGTGAGCCACCAGGGAAGCCCTAATCCTTTCATTTTTAAATCACTGTCTCTTTGTTTTAATCAACTTTATTCAGGTATAATTTACATACATGCATCTGTTTTAAGTATGCAATTCATTGAGTCTTGAGAAATACATATGCTGATGTAACCACCACCATAATCAAGATACAAAACATTTCCATTACCACCAAAAAAATCCCCTCTGCTCATCTGCATTCATTTCCCTACTCCATTGTCCTGTCGCAGCAACTAATGATCTTCTTTAGCTCTGTAGGTCATTTTTATCTGTTCTAGGATTTCATATACATGGAATTACATGGTATGGACTCTTGTCTGGTTTATTTTACAAGACATAATATTTTTGAAGTTCATCCACATTGTGGCATAAATCATCAGTTTCTTCCTTTTTATTGATGAGTAATATTCTATTATATGCCTAGACTACAGTTTCTGTTTACTCATTTACCTGGTAATGGACATTTAGTAGGTTTTCAGTTTTTTTCAATTACGAATAAATTTAATAATAAATTTAACAGTGATATTAACATTTATGAACAACTCATGTGGTCACATGTTCTCTTGCATAAATACCTAGGAATGGGATTTCCTAGGACATGATTTCCTAGGAATGGATCATAGTGTAGGTATATGTTTAATTTTATTAAAAACTGCCAACCTCTTTTCTAAAGCACTTAAACAAAATCACTCTCTTTTGAAATACATTTCATATCATTATCTTTGTTGTCTTTTTTTGTGTCAACTTAAATCATTTAAGTCCGTCAGATCCTTATGTATCCATGCCTTTTTCTGTGGTTAAAGTACTCTGTCATCATTGTACGGACTTCATCAGGTTATGTTTTATTTTAAAGATGGAAATTTTTACCCTGAAATTAATGAATTTATGTTGTATTACCAAATGTTTAGAACATTTATGAAAAATCAGAGGCTGACTGGTAAGGACTTTGACCCAACAGCTCCATGTAATAAAGAGTCTGACTTCACCTTTATTTTTGACCACTGACAGCTCTCCAGCTCCATCCTTCCCCCTTTGCTTTTTGCCCCACATCTGGGCAGATCAATAAGACCTCTCTCACTCAGTCTCTGTCTCTGTCTCAGTCTCATTCTCTGGGAATTCATATCACACAAACCCAATCCCATAGGTAGAGATCCCCCCACAGACACCACCTTTTAGCCACAATTCAAATCAAAGCCAATGAACCACTCCTTTCCTTCAAGCCATTCTGGACCAGCTTGTGTGTGTCCCTCACTCCCCAGAAGCCACTCGTGTGAATGATCCACTTCTTTTGAAACATTTTTGGTGTATGAAGTGTCATTAGTATCAACACACAAACCACTGATTGAAGGAGTCTGATCCCTTCACAAGGCAGCCACAAGAGTCTAGGAGCTGGTGTTGAAACTCAGAGGCAGTGTTTGGGTAGAGGCTAAATGTATATCCAGCTCACACCTTCGTGCCATGGCAGCATTTGCTTTCTTAGCATCCGTACAAGTACATAACTTCAGTTATAACAAAGAGCCATATGTACTTAACCTTCCATTTCACAAAAAGTTTTTCTGTGTAAATAAGGCATGATATGAATTTCACACAAACTGAAAGGAGAAGAAATGCTGGGGGATGTATATAAGACAACAAAGGGCAAGAAATTGAGAGAAACAAGTAGCTAAGCATATGGGAATATCGAGATAACTAAGATCAAAAGTCTTTTGAACAAGGAAATGTTACATAAGCCAGCGCAATTTAAAGTGTGGTCCCCAGGCCACCATCAACTGGGAATTTGTTAGAAATGCAAATCCAGAGGCCCCACCAGCTCCACTGAATCAGGATTCTGGGAGCAGAGCCCAGCTATCTGTGTTTTAACAATTCCTCCTGATGATTCTAAGGAAAGCTAAAGATTAAGAATTATTGCTTCAGGTGACATAAAAAGCAATTGACTGACCCAGAGTTGCAAGGGATAAAGCTTTTGCAGACAAGAGGTTTATGAGCAGTCTCATAGGCAACCTTTCAAAAGAAGACAGATCTAACAAATGCTGTCAAAGAAAATAAATTATGAAAATAAGACATTACGAAGAAAGACTGTCTTCAGTAAAAGAAATTTAATGCTTGCATATTAAAGGTCAGAGGAAGTAAAGAAGGGATGTGCTAAGGATATTTATGTGCAGTGCCTCTGGGAGTGGAAGTTTCTAAATGGGGATTTGTGAAAGTGAATTAAGTGATTATCAAAAGGAGGAAAGGGGTTTAATAGATTAATCAGCATGAAAGTAGAATTCTTAAAATTAAAGCACCTTAAGTATTTTAAAACAAATCTATTTCTCACTATAAATATTGAATCCTAAATTATATATATATATTTTTTCTATTTCTAGTGTCACTATCCTAGTCTAAGTCAACGTGTCTCCCACTTGGTTTCTGGCAACAGTATCCTAACCGGTCTTATTGATAACACTTCCCCTCCTCCAATCCAAACACAGCAGTCAGCGTGAATTGTATCATGTCAATTCCTACCTTATCACTACCCCAATTTTACCATTATATACAATATAAAGTAAAAATTTCTTACCGTAAGATGACCCAAACTCTGCCTACTTTTCCGGTCTTATCTCAAATATGCCTCTGACTTACCTCTCTCCTTTGTTTATTTTACGCCAACAGCAGTGGCCCTCAGTATGTTCCTCCAACAGGGCAAACTAGTTAGCAGCCTCTCTCCTTGATTTACACACTGTAGGCCCTGCTCAGCATTCAACTCTCAGTTTTGTTAGGGAACCACTGGCTGAAACCACTAGCCCTGGCCAGGCATGATAATAACCGCTTGCATAAGTTGTCTCACAACAGGAGGTCCTGACAAGGAGCACAATACTGACAAGCTACTGCCAAAACCAACCAGAAGAATTCGGGAGCCGCCAAAATGAGGGAGGAGATGCCAGCCCATAATACATCCTGCCAACTTCCCAGAAATCCTCACACTTGAGTCAACCTTGACTGAGATACACGCGCCACCAGGAAGGGCCCTGAGTCGGCAGACCAAGTATGGGCACAAGCAAGATTGGCCAGAGACAACTTGGAAGGCTCACCCCACCTCCATAAAACCTGAGACTTTGAGCCACGAGGCACAACAGTGCTGGGCTCCCTTACCCTGCTGCTCTCTGCTCGAGCACCCCTTTTCAATGAAGTCTTTTGCTTTGTCAGTATTTGTGTCTCCTCGGACAATTCATTTTCAAGTGTTAGACAAGAGTCCACTCTTGGGACACGGAAGGGATCCCCCCACCCCCCGTAATAGTTTTAATACCGTATTTGTAGAGAGAACTTTCCTAACTACTCAACTCAACATAATGTCAGTCATTCTGTATTATATCATTTTATTTTTTTCATAATACTATAATTAGCAGGAATTATTTTATTGATTCCTTTGTTTATTT